CCATCAGCTTGAGATGCTCACCTGTGCTTTCCCTTCAAAAGGGACAAGTTTGACTAAGGGCGCCTTATACTTGAACATCTCAAGACTTTAATATAGTACCTATTTTACCTTCCCTTGATACACAGCTATGAGCCTCTGAAGGACACAAAACATGTCTTATTCCTTATGTGTCTCCAACACCAAGCACAATGCAATCAGTGTGCAAAATGAATCAGGGAATGAGTGAATTGTAACTTCCTCACTAAACCTCCTCCAGGGAATACTCTACAAACTTAAGTGCCTTGTGGTTTTATTCATTTATTCATTCAACAAATGGATCAAATTTTTGAAGCCCTAGAGAAAAATAAAATTCAGCCTCCTGAATAACCAACTCACCTTGCTTTACTTGATGCTTGAAGTGTCATTGCCACTTTTCCTTTCCAAAATTCCACCCATACCTGTTCTACCTGAAACCATTTTTCCACTGCAGAAGCATCAACTACTAGCCACAGCCACAGGCTGTGCATTAACATTCAGTCTTGCTATGACTCATGTTTGTAAAGTGAGTGAATATTCTCTCACTTACCAATTGGGTAGCTAAACAAGAAAATCAATTGATGAGAAAAGGAAACCTGTTGAAAAATGGGCCGTATGCATCCCCAAAGCCCCTTTTTCATTTTTGAAGCAGAAGCACCAAGTCATTTTCATCCACTGAAGTGCTTTGCTAAGATGAAAAGATCCAAATTGCACTGCCTTCTCCCAGATGCAGAGAGCATTGACTTGAAAATTTGAGTTGGTCCTCTAAAACTTAGGTGGGAGAAGTGCTTAGAGGGAAGAAAAAAGAAAGAGAGACCGAGAGAAGAAAAGAAAGAAAGAAAGAAAGAGGGAGGGAGGGAGAGAGAGAGAGAAAGAAAAAGAAGAAAAGAAGGAAAGAAGGAAAAGAAAGAGAGAGAGAGGAAGGAAGGAGGGAGGGAGGGAAGGAGGGAAGGAAGAAAAAGAGGATCAAGATTAACAATGAAAAGGTCTGGAACATTTGCCTTAGTTGCCTTCTGCTAGGTGTGGATTGGCTAACTTTATTGAAATTTTGTATGAGGCAATATAGGTTCAAGAGTGATTTCCTGTGTGAGTAACAGGATGAAATGCTTTCTTAAGAAGAAATAAATGAAACAGTGAAACTGGTTTATAGAGCCGAGACAGTGGGAGATTGTGGTTTAAGAAAAGGAGTACTATCTCTGAATCCAGATGGATCTGAGTTTAACTTCCAGCTCTGGCACTTACCAGCTAGATAGCATGGGACTATCTGGATAACTTCAGTTTCCACATTGAGCAAATGCTTGATTAATAATAGCTCCAAATGTTGTCAGAGTGTTAGTTATGGTATTATACCTTTAAAGAAGTAGAGATGTTATAACATGATGTGACTTGGGTCAAAGTTTTTACTGTCTTCATGGCTCCCAACAGTCTGGCTGTGGGAGAGAAGTTTCCAAATAGATGCAAAAGTTTACTTCATGTAAAACGTATTTGTTGCATTGAATGAAGTAGTTTACTTTTCCTTAACTGCTGCTGTGCTTGAAATTACACAGATAATAAGCTGCTGCACTTGAAGCAATTAGTCTGCAGTTTTCTACTCTATTAAATTCACTTAAGCATATGGCTGAATAGTTATGCTGAGGCACTTGAAGCTTAGTTGTGATTTTTTTAGTTGTCAGAAAAGTATTTGCAATTTAGATGCTTATCTAACTTAGTTCAATAGTGATACTGTTATGAACCTGGAGTGGTCAAGCAGCTAATGTATGTAACTTTGCATGCAAAGTAGACGGTTTACTTTAAATTTATTAAAATTTTGCAGTGTGGCCAGATTTTATGATTACTGAACTTGGTTTCCGAAAAATTATGGTCCTTGTAATTAATGGATATAAGATTAGAATTTTTTATTAGTTTATTTCCATACTGTAATATTTTTGTTGAAAACTTCGGATTTGTATAATTGTATTGTCATTGCTTGAATAAGGAAATTATACTTAAAGTAACAGATAGTAATTAAATTCAATAAAAATGTAAAGAAAATAAAGATCACTGTGAACTGATTGTCTTGTGCCTTTGTGAAGCTCATAGTGGCTTACAGAAAATGTTCTCATCAAATGAGTACTGAAGAAAGGCAATACTAAACTTATGTGTGTTTTTCACTCAGATCTTAATTTCATGAAAGAAATTCAAAATACCTTTTAATTGTGTAGTAGCTTCTGAGCTGATTCAATGTCTTAAATTTTAGGAGTATACAGAGAATTTAGGAAAAACATCAGATTTTAAATTTTGAAAAAGAAAAATTTTATGAGGTTTCCCCTTTGGGAGAATCCTCACTTCTAGTCTCAAATCACCTGTTTGTTGGCACTGAAAATATTCATGGAGATTGTGTATTGCATAGTTTTATTTAGAAATGTGTGCGAGAGTCTTTGGTGATGTTGGATTCATTATTTATCCTTTTTATGCTCACTTTTTCCATTCTTATGAATGTCAATTGTTTTCTTACATTATCCAGTGAAGAGGTGTAATGAATTTAAAGACAATGAAAGCTATTATGGGGAAAAATTATTAAGCCATAAATCAGTTTTGTCTATATAAACCACACTCTCTCCTATACTCCTTGCCTCTCTTTCAACCCCCCACCTATTAGACCAAAAACCTAGGGATTACTTCACTGAAGGTTCTTTGAAAATTATCTGCACACTGATGAAACTTGGAAAGATACATCTCTTGACTGATTTTTATTGAGCAGGTTGAAGATTGTCCAGTTTAGGCCTATTGTAGCATAGCTAGAAATCACTGACAGACAATAAGTTATAGCTGCAAAGTGGGGATAGTGAGATGTATTTCTGTCCCTTTGTTCATCAGGATGTATTATTTAAATTCTTCCTGGGCCCAGTAAGTTGAGTAGTAACAATCGAATATCATTTGTCCCCAGCTGTATGCATAAACATATATGTTAGAGAAAAAAGAAACAGCTTTAGTGTAGTTGACCATTTCAGAGATATGTTATCTCTTAGTTTCTTTCTTGACTGTTAGGATCATTGATGTGGAAGATGTGTGCATACACATGCACATCTATCCTTCCATCCATCCTGTCTTACCCACCGCTCTGGCTTTGAAAGATATCACTTTGCTGCCATGTGCTGATCTTCAATTGGTTCCTAAGGCTTGCTGCTAGAGAAGGAGGCTGTCATGTTAGAGGAAAGTAATAAAGTATAAACACTCAAGAATTGCCTAAATACAGACTCTTTAGAGCACTATTGAACTTGCTCACCAGTCTTACTGATTTTTTAGAGTAAAAATTGTACCTGATGGTTATCTATTTTGTGTAAAAATGCAAAGACTGTTCTGATGTAAGGATTGAAATAAAACAATCACTTTTTTTTGCCCTCAAATTGTTTTTGCTCTAAGGCAGGTGAAATTTTTATTTCCAAAGACGAGAATAAAATATAATTTTTCTCTATATAATTTTAATATCTAAAATAGAGTAGTAATACCACTGTATATTTCTATAACATTTAACACCAGTGCTAATAAAAATGTAACACAAGCTACATATACAATTTTAAATTTTTTATAGCCACATTAAAAATTAAAAAGAACTAGATGGAATTAATTTTATAATGGATTTTATTTAACCCAATATATCCAAAATCTTATCATTACAACATGAAACTAATATCAAAAATTATTAATGAAATCTTTTGCATTTTTTCTTTGTGCATACTAAATCTTTGAAATTGGATGTGTATTTTATACTCACAGCACATCTCGATTCAGACTAGTCACATTTCAAGTGCTGAATTTTCATATGTGGCTAGTGTCTAGCATTTTGGATAACAGCTCCATTCTGTACTTGGTTTCACATAAATTACCTCGTATTATCACTTCTACAGTAAAATGAATGATTCATCTCCAGGTAATACAAACTGTATCACATTATGAAGGGAAAACTTAGCCTATTGTGCTTCTATTTGAACTTATATAAGGTAGTATTGCTTACATATAAATATTTGCAAGAAGACATGGCAGGACCACACAGCCCCAGGTAGCAGCACCCCTGACACCAACTCCACCAGCAGTGGGAGCTCCATACAAGTCCCTGAGTTCACTAATTCTCTCCTCCATAAAGTCTACTCTGCTTTTTGTGTTTTTCAAATGATTTTTATCTGATTGTGTTCTTCATCTTCAGAAATTCTGAGCTTCAATCTCTTTGGTGAAGTATCTTTCTGTTCATTAATTTTATTCCTGAGCTCATTCAACTGTCTTTCAGAGTTTTCTTGTAGCTTGTTGAGTTTCTTTGACTGCTATTTTGAATTCTTTTTCAGTTAGATTGTAAGCTTCTGTGACTTCAGATTTGGTTTCTGAAGAGTTGTGATTCCCCTTCTGTTCTGCAGTGTTACTGTAGTTCTTCATGGTGTGTGATGAATTGATCTTTTGCTGCTGCTTTTGTGGTAATAATCAACTTATCTTATTTGGGTATGGCTTTGGTTACTTTGCTTCTGGTTACCCGGGTTTTGTGTTCCTCCACTGGCTTTCTGTGGGCTCAGATGTTGTTGTCCTGTGCAACACCTGTGTTGCTGTTCCCCAGTTGTCTGAGGGTGCTGGTTGCACTGCTGCCAGGAATACTGGGTTCACAGGTGTTGCTGTTGCTGGTAGGGTCTATATCAGAACAAGTTAGCAAAGACTTAATTATAACAGAAATGATTATGGGAAAGAAAGCATCAAAAATAACTATAAACACTTCAATTTGGTTACAAATTCACAACACAAATAAGAATAATTTGTGACAACAAAAACATAGAAGAGGAGATAGCGATGGAATCTGCATAGGCTAATAGAGATAAGAGGCTATCAGAAAAAAGACTATCTTATCTATGAGATCTTTTATACAAACTTCATGATAACCACAAAACAAAAAAATCACAGCAGAGGATGTCAGCAACATGGTGGAGTGACTGTTCCCTTTTTTTTCCCCTCCTTTTGAGCTGCAGCTAAATGGGCATTCATTGACCAACGGAGGAAGCCCACACAGCACAATAGGATGCCTGAGAGATGCACGCAGCTATACCTCTGAGGATGGATGGATTGGCACCCCCAGGAAGTGGCGGAGATAGGTAAGCACACCCTGATTTCCCCCAAGTAGCCCTATGCATGCACACAAATGCTTCCCAGGCATGTACAAACACTTACAGTGCAGCTGCACTCCCAAAGTGGGAACATGTCTGGGCAGCCATGAGAATAGGCATGGCAGTTTTGAACACACATGCACTTACTTTCCTGGCAGGGAGGGGGAGCCCACAAGCCCCTGTGCCATAAAGGAGCAGCCATAGCTCGGGTCCCAGCAGGGAAGCCCCATGAGACAAGCTCAGCGGCCTCGCAGAATGCAGATTGTAAATGGGGACCTCAACAGATTTCCACACTGGGGTGAACACTTCCCAGGCACACGAGAGTACTCACTGTGCAGCTGCACTCCCAAAGAGGGAATGTGTCCCGGGCAGCTGTGCGAATAGGCGCAATAGTTTTGAGCCCATTGCTCATCACTTTCTGGCAGGGAGTGGGAGCTCAGAGTACCCCTGAGACACCAAAGAGTGGCCCTAGCCTAGTGAGGAAGCCCTGCCCAACAAGGCCAGTCTGCACAAGTGCCTGAATGCACCCCAGGCTGGGGAAAGCACCCATAATACCTCCACAGCTTCCAGCAGACGGGGTAGAGCCAGAAACACTGCTCCTGCTCCCCTCTAGCAGGAACAAGGTAAATGTGCATCCTAAGAATACCACAAATGCCCTGACAAAAGATTAGTTCATCAAACTCAATGAGAAACTGCAGCAACAATTCAGACCAGAAGTAAAATGACAATTCTCCAGGAATCAACACTTAAGACACAGAAATATACAACCTAAATGACAGAGAATTCAAAATAGCCATCATAAGGAAACTCAACGACTTACAATAAAACATGGAAAGACAATTCAAGGACCTCAGTAATAAAATGAATCTCCTCACCACAGAGATTGAAACTACAAAAAAAGTCAAGCAGAAATTCTAGGTGTGAAAAACAAATTAATGAAATAATCTAGAATCATTAAGAAATAGAATTGATTTTATGGAGGAAAGAATTAGTCTTCTTGAGGATAAAAATGTAGAAATTCTATAGGTGAAGGATAAGACAGAACTAAGATTTTTTAAAAATGAAGGAATTCCTTGAGAAATATCCAACCCAATTAGGAAAAGCAACAGAAGGATTATAGGTGTCCGAGAGGGAGAAAGGAGCAGAGAACTTGTTCAAAAAAATAATTGCTGAGAACTTCCCAAACATGAGGATGGTTTCAGATTTACAGATAAACGAAGTTAATAGAAAGCCCAATGTTATCAATGCAAAAAGACCCTCTCCAAGGCATATAATAGTGAAAATGGCAAAAGTTTGGGATAAAGAAAGAATATGAGGAGCAGCAAGGCAGAAGAAAATAGCCTACAAAGGAAACCCTACCAGGCTGTCAGTGGATTTCTCAGCAGAAACCCTACAGGCTAGGAAAGAATGGAATGATATATTCAAAATACTGAAAGACAAAAACTTTCAGCCAAGAATACTCTATCCAGCAAAACTTTCCTTCAGATACAATTGAGAAATAAAAGCTTTCTCAGATAAACAAAAGCTGAGGGATGTCGTTGCCAATAGACCTCCCCTACAAGAAATAATTAAAGATGCCCTCACACTGGCAACAAAAAAGCAAAGGTCTACAAAGCTCTGAGTAAGGAGATAAATAGACAGACATGATCAGAAACCTGCAGCTCTGTACTAGAACAGGGAGGCAAAGGCTCAATTACGACTTAAAAGAGAAAGGGGAAGAAAGCATCAAAAGTAATGATAAACACTTCAACTTAGCCACAAACTCTCAAAATTAAGAATAGAACGATAGGTAACAACAGTTACTCAGAAGGGGAGAGAAAAGGGCAGGAACCTGCTCAGGTTAATGGAGGTAAGAGGCTATAATAAAATGGACTATCTCATCTCCAATATCTTTCATAAAATCCTCACTGTAACCACTAAACAAAAAATCAGAGCAGAGCCACAATTCACAAAAAGAAAGAGAACTGAGAAATCCCTCTCAGAAAACCAACAAAATGAAATAGTAGTCAGAAATAGAAAGGAAGAGAATCAGCGGAAACATAGAACAAGCAGAAAACAAGAGATAAAATGCCAGCATTAGGCCCTCATATAACAATAGTCTCTAAATTTTAAGGGACTGAACTCTCCAATCAAAAGACACAGAGTAACTGGATGGATTAAAAAACAAGACCCCACAATATGCTGCCTCAAGGAAACACACCTCAACTACAAAGAGAAACATAGGCTTAGAGTGAAGGGATGGAAGACAATACTCCAAGCTAATGACCAACAAAAGAAAGCAAGTGTTGCCATACTTTTATCAGACAAAGTAGACTTCAAGGTAAAAAAGACAATGAGAGACAAAAATGGTCAGTATTTAATGATAAAAGGGACATTCCACCAAGAGGACATAACACTGAATAATATATATGCACCTAACAGAGTGGCACCAAAGTACATAAAGCAATTATTAACAGACCTACAGGGAGAAATTAACAGCAACACAATAATAGTAGGGGACCTCAACACCTCACTTACTTCATCGGACAGATCATCTAGACAAAAAGGCAACAAGTAAATAGTAGCTTTAATGACACACTTGACCAGATGGACTTAATAGACATATATAGAGCATTCCATGCAAAAACAGTGGAATATATATTCTTCTCAAATGCCCATGAAACATTCTCAAAGATAGACCATATGTTGGGTAACAAGGCAAGCCTCAATAAATTCAAGAAGTTTGAAATCATCCCAACTGTCTTTTCTGACCACAATGCTATGAACTAGAAATCAACCACAAGAACAAAACTGGGAAAGTCAGAAATATGTGGAGACTAAACAACATGTTATTGAATAGCAATTGGATCATTGAAAAAATCAAAGAGGAAATTAAAAAATACCTGGAGACAAGCTAAAATGAAAATAAAGCATACCAACTCTTATAGGATGCAACAAAAGCAGTCATAAGATGGAAATTCATAGCAATACAGGCCCAACTCAACAAGCAAGAAAAATCTCAAATAAGTAATTTTAAAATGCACCTAACAGAGCTAGAAGAAGAAGAACAGACAAAGCCTAAAATCAGCAGAAGGAGGGAAATAATAAAAACCAGAGCAGAAATAAATTAAATAGACACTAAAAAAAAACAGTAAAAAGGATCAATGAAACTAAGAGTTGGTTCTTTGAGAAGATAAAGAAAATTGAAAAACCCTTAGTCAGACTCACCAAGAAAAAAAGAGAGAAGACTGAAATAAATAAAATTAGAAATGAAAGAGGAGAAATTACAACAGATACTGCAGAAATACAAAGGATTATAAGAGAATACTATGAAAAACTTTATGACCACAAATTTGATAAACCATAAGAAATGGATGAATTCCTAGACTCATACAATCTCCCAAAATTGAATCAAGAAGAAACAGAGAATCTGAACAGACAAATCACAAGTACAGAGATTGAAACAGTAATGTAAAACCTCCCAAAAACAAAAGTCCAGGACCAGATGGCTTTTCTGGAGAATTCTACCAAACATTCAAAGAAGATTTAGTACCTATTCTTCTCAAACTATTCCAAAAAATTTAAGAAGATGGAACACTTCCTAACACAACCTATGAAGCCAACATTAACCTTACACCAAAAACAGACAAGGATGACACAAAGAAGGAAAACTACAGGCCAATATCACTGATGAACTTAGATGCAAAAATCCTCAATAAAATATTGGCAAACCAAATACAGCAATACATTAAAAGAATTGTACACCACAATCAAGTGGGATTCATTCCAGGGACACAGGGATGGTTCAATGTCCAGAAATCAATCAATGTGATACACCACATTAACAAAATGAGGAATAAAAATCATCTCAATAGATACAGAGAAAGCATTTGACAAGATCCAACATCCATTTATGATTTTAAAAAACTCTCACTAAAGTGGGTATTGAGGTAAAGTACCTCAACATAATAAAGGCCATATACGACAAACCCACAGTCAACATCATACTTAATGGTGAAAAACTGAAAGCCATCCTTCTGAGAACAGGAACAAGACAAGAGTGCCCACTCTTGACACTCGTATTCAACATAGTACTGGAGGTATTGACCAGAGCAATTAGGCAAAAAAAAGAAATAAAAGGAATTCAAATTGGAAAGGAAGAATTGAAACTTTCATTATTTGAAGATGATATGATTCTATAAATAGAAAACCCTAAAGAATCCACCACTAAACTACTAGAAATAATCAACTACAGCAAAGTTGCAGGGTACAAATTCAATTAAAAGAAATCAGTTACATTCCTATACCCCAACAATGAACTAGCAGAAAAAGAAATCAAGAATACAATCCCATTTACAATTGCAACAAAAAGAAAAAAATACCTGGGAATAAACTTAACGAAAGAGGTGAGAGACCTGTACACTGAAAACTATAAGTCATTACTGAAAGAAATTGAAGAAGACATAAAGAAATGGAAAGATATTCTATGTTCATGGGTCAGAAGAATAAACATAGTCAAAATGTCCATACTATCTAAAGCGATCTACAGATTCAACAAAATCCCTGTCAGAATCCCAATGACATTCTTTACAGAAATAGAACAAAGAATCCAAAAATTTATATGGAACAACAAAAGACCCTGAATAACCAAAGAAATCCCGAGAAAAAAGAATAAAGCTGGAGGCATCACAATCTCTGACTTCAAAACATACTACAAAGCTATAGTAGTCAAAACAGCATGGTACTGGCACAAAAACAGACAAAAAGATCAATGGATGAGAATCGAAAGCCCAGAAATAAGACTACACATCTGTGGACAGCAAATCTTTGACAAAGCATTCAAGAACATACAACGGATAAAAGAAAGTCTTTTCAACAAATGATGTTGGGAAAACTGGTCAGCCGTGTGCAAAAGAATGAATGTAGACCATTATCTTACACCATACACTAAAATTAACTCAAAATGGATTAAAGACTTCAATGTGAGACTTGAAATCATAAAACTCCTAGAAGAAGATAAAGGCAGTTCACTCTTTGACATCGGTCTTAGCAGCATCTTTTTGAATTTCATGTCTACTCAGGCAAGGGAAACAAAGGAAAAAATTAAAAAATGGGACTACATGAGACTAAAAAGCTTCTGCAAGGCATAGGAAACCATGAACAAAACAAAAAGACAACCCACCAACTGGGAGAAAATATTTGCAAATTATGTATTTGACACAATGTTAATTTCCAAAATATATAAAGAACTCATACAACTCAACAATACTAAAAAAAAAAAAAAAATCTGATAAAAAATGGGCAGAGGATATGAACAGACATTTTTCCAAAGAAGTTATACAGATGGCCGAAAGGCACATGAAAAGATGTTCAACATCACTCATTATTAGGGAAATAAAAATCAAAACTACAATGAGGTATCACCTCACACCCATCAGAATGCCTATAATTAACAAGACAAGAAATACAATTGTTGAAGAGGGTGTGGAGAGAAGGGAACCCTCATACATTGCTGGTGGGAATGCAAACTGGTGCAGCCACTATGAAAAACAGTATGGAGATTCCTCAAAAAATAAAAATAGAAATACCATATGATCCAGCTATTCCACTACGGGAATTTATCCAAAGAACATGAAATGAACAATTCAAAAAGATTTATGCATCTCTATGTTCATCGAAGCCTTATTCATGATAGCCAAGATATGGAAGCAACCCAAGTACCCATCAATGGACGAATGGATAAAGAAGATGTGGTATATATATATACAATGGAATACTACTCAGCCATAAAAAAGACAAAAATCATGCCATTTGCAACAACATGGATGGACCTTAAGGTTATTATGCTAAGTGCAATAATCTGCACAAAGATAAACACTGTATGATTTCACTCATGGGTGAAGGTAAACCAACACATGGGTAAAGAGAACAGATTGGTGGTTACTAGAAGGTAAGGTGTTGAGGAGGGCAAAAGAGGTAAAGGGGCACATATGTATGGTCACGGATAAAAACTAGACTATTGGTGGTGAACAAGACCAATCTATAAATCTATAGATCTATAAATCTAAGATCAGTCTATAAATAAACTGATATATATTAGTATACACCTGAAATTTACACAATGTTATTATAGGCCAATGTGACCTCAGTAAAATAATTAAATTTTTAAACAAAAAAGAAATGGGAAATTTTCATATAAAGTAGGTTCAATAATTGTTCTTCCCTCCCTGCAGACATTGGCCCGTGCACTTCTGTTTTAAGCAAAAGTAAGATTTATTGGAAAGATGCTGGAGTTGATCATGGAATCGCAGAGGACTGAGAGATCAATCCTCGGACAGTGCAGTAGCAGCAGCTGTTCTCTCATAGACTCTTTTTCCTCATACAGAAAGGCTGGCTGCCAGCAGCTTCCACAACCACACCCTCTAGCTCAGTTCCTAGGAGAGAGCACTCCCCTTCTTGCCATCTCCAGCCAGGAAAAACTCATGGATGGACTCTGCCTGGTTTAGCTTAACTCACAAGTCCATCTGCAGACCCGTTACCCGGTCTTGAGACAGAGGCACTATGATCCCACGTTGTGAATTGTAAAATGTAACCATTAGGAAGTAGACTTCAAATGCTCGTATCATATTATAATACTATGCATATTTGTGTTTATAGAAGGAAACACATTTGAAATATAGAGAAGCAGAACAGTGTGTTTTCTCATCAGTTCTTCTTTGGGCAAAATAAGCATAATCTGACTAAATCTGCATTTCTAACCTGCGCTGTCACCTTGCTCTTACACCTTAACAAGCAAACTATATGAGAAGAATGATCAGCAATAGAAGCAAGATGATTTTCTTTTGGTCCAAAACTTTGTACCTGGTGATATTCTATGCCATGAAAAGAATCATGCTTAATAATTCATTTGTCAGCTGTGTTAGGCACTGTGGAAGATTCCAAACAGCATGAAATCTAACCTCTGCCTTCAGAGAGCTTAACAGTTTTCTGTGGCAGGGAAATTAGAGTACATCTGTGAAAACATATTAGTATAGGACAGAACAGAAAATTTCTTAGACTCTAACAAATGTTTTAATTCCAGGTGTACTCAGGAAGATAGTAGCATTTTTGGATGTCTACTATGAAGAGAAAAGTATGTACTGAGATGGGTTTTATAGGCAGTAAACATTACAGTCCTTGTCTTCAAGACATTTGAAACATACAACATGCTCACATTAGCTAAATATGCTTACTTCAAATGCCTATACTTATGTCACATGACTGTGAAGTTATCAACCTGGTTTCAAAAGCCATACACAAAAATCAAATCAGGTAATGTGTGTAAAAGTTCATTGTTAACTGTAGTACCATACAAACTGAGGTGATATTACCGTGATCATATCTTCCATTTTATTGTTCATGATGGAAGCTGGCCTACTTGTGGAGAAGAATGGGCCCATTATTCCTGTTTGGGAAAATAAATGGAATAATAAAGAAGACTCAAAACCAAATGAAATGCCATTCCATACACATTTTGAAAAAGTTTATAGAGTAATTTAAGCATGAAGAGCTATTCTAAGCATAATAATAAACTGTAAAGAATATTGTTTCCTTTCCAAGATTCACTTTTCCAAGATGGCTCAAATGTGAAAGTCTCTTTTGGAGTTTATGTATAGTTCTTTAAATTGGCACATTTGGCCTAAAGCAAGAGGAAAAACTGAGTACAATGTACCATTTTGTCAAGCAGGGCAGAGCCTTGAATGGAGGATTAAGTGGGTAGGGCTCCATGGAAGAAATAGGACATATTCTTTGCTATTCAGAGATATCCTATGGGTTGATGAAATTATATTTACTTTAACAAGCCTTGCTTAATACTGCACGTTCACAATTACCTTCCACTTGTACAGCATGTTGCTCAGGAAGAAATCTATTCCTATCCTTAATGTTCCAGTCTCTCTTTCCTTGTTTTAACTATATTCTAAATAATTTATAAATATTTTGTTGCTGGTGAATTGTTTTCTTTTTCGGCCCTTCAGTATAGGCATAGCTTAATACTGGCTATATTTCCATTTGCCTTTTTTCTTTGTTTCTCATTGGTCCATATCAGACCTAAGCTTCAATTTTCTTTTCCTTCAGCCACAGATATCCTAGTGTATAATATTTCCTTCTGGATTCTATCAAATGTAACCCTACTTAATCACACCTTCATCTTGGTCATTACCCCAGGCCACCATACTCTATATCAGTTTTATGAGTATTTTCTGGTCTGAAGGGCATTTGTTTTACTCAGGCACAGGAGATTCTGTCTTCTATGAATGTTATGAGTTTTAACATGATGTAGAAACCGTGATGCTAACTGACATTACACAGAACTTTACAGGTTACTCAGCCTCTCACAGACAGGCGTTTATTTGGTCCTTTCAAACTCTTGGGGTGGGATTTATCATCTCCAATTTCCTCATGAGGAAATGGAAGTTCAGTGAGAGATTGTGCACAGGCCTATGGTAGCTGGTAAACGGTAGAATTGGGGCTGAGATTGGGTTTCCTCACTCCATGCCCATTGCGCTTTCCATCGTATTACAAGCCATTCTGCTTAGGAGGGATTTAGGGCTTATATAGCAAATAATATTTTTCAGGGAATCTGTTTACAACAACAAAAAATTTTTCTCTCCAAAATGTTCATGCCTGGCCTGGATAAACATGAGCTCCCACTGCCCACCATTGCCTCTAGGATTTACTTTATAGCTTTGTTTCAAATACAAACTGAGTTTTCATTATTCTTCCTTACAGTTAATCTCTTTACACACTGCCCTAGGAATCACTTTTAAAATTGACAGGAGTTTAGCTGGAGTCTCTCTTCTGTGATGGGAATTCCATTCCCAAAGAACTAGAGCAATATTTCTTAATTGAATATTTACTGTAATGATCAAGAAGGAGTCAGTTGGTCCTGTTTGCTTTATTTTCATTGTAAGCTAAAGATTTGGATGGTATTTCCATGATTTATTGAGAACTGCACCAAGATTCTCAGTATTCAATAAACATAGTTAAGAAGTAGAGGAAAGACATATATTTTTCATCATACACACAACTCTAAATGTTTAGGCCAAAGGCACATATTTTTAGGACCTTACAAAAGTAGATACATTTTTAATGGGTTCAAGTAACAAATATAAATTCTATCTCTCTATTACCTGAATATCTTAACTGTTTGGAGGTTTTATTATCGGAAACTGCCAAATAACATGCATATATCATTTTAGTTGAAACTTAAGCCTGGCAGTTTTATTGAGAAAAATGGATTTTAAGTTATTTTTCATACATAAAGGTTGCTAAGCCTATGCTTAATTGGTGAAGATATGGATGACCTTATCTCCATGCTTCAAGGAAAAAATAAAACCTCACTATCTTATATCCTCGAGATTTGGCAAAAGATGATCAATTAACTGTCTAAAAATCTGTAATAAAATGACTGTAGGGAGTAAAACAAACTGAATTGTGTCCAATTCAGCTCATTAAAATATGTATGACCCTGTGCCAGAGATGTCTGTGGCAATCCAGCCTTTGATTCTATTTATGGAGATGTTACCCTCGTGTGGCTCCAGTCCCTGTGCAGAAACATAATGTGGTCATATCTTTTGTGGTTCCTAATTCATGTGAGATTAGTCGTTCATATTCTTAAGTCATCTCTGAAGATAAAAGTCAGAGTTCAAAATCTATGTTTTGATGAAGCAAGGATGGAGACATAATCATGATAAAATTGAACATATTATCCTAGGATCATGATTTAAAAGATTTGAGAACTCTTCCTGACACCAGTGGGTTCATTGGTATCTCTTGTCGTCATAGGAGACTTTGTACAGATCCAGAAAGGCTCATGTTTGCTCCACGTCATATGTTTATCAAGACTGTATAATTCTGGCATTTTGTTTTATTGTTAATTCTAGCTTGCAAATGTAGAAACACTTTGTAGCATTTACAGGCTACTATAATGATCATCATGTAATTTGTGTAGCTGTTGCATAAAGATAACACCATTTTGTTTCCCATCATGACTTTTTCTAGAGAGTTAGTTGTTCAGCACTGATTCAAATCTTTTCCCAAGGTATATACAAATAAAATACTCTCCTGATTTCCCACAAGGAAGGAAAGAAGAAAGGGAGGTGACTGATCTCTGTGGTCTGTAAACGGTATCCATGAGTCCCAGGAGGGCAGGCATAGCTCAGGATGTAGAAAAGCACATGTGTCCAGAGCTCCTGTTTCCAAGAAGTTCACAGTAATTTTAGCAAGATAAGAAATACATGGATCCAGGTCTCTTTGGTTCAATCTTAATATTTTACTTGGTGTCTGGTTACCACAGATTATTGTTGGGGTCTGTATGAAGATGGATGCTTCTAGGAAACAAAAAACATTTTAGGCTTCTAGGCAAGATGTGAAATTTAGAGCAGAAACTTGTGATGATGGGTATCAGGAAAAAAATAGAAGAATCAATAGGTCTTAGAATTATGAGAACAAAAAGCAGTTAATAGGTTTTTAAGAAGTACTTTATAGGTATGGTGACCATATATCCCAATTTTCTTAGGACAATCCTGGTTTATGCCAATTATCCTGGCTTGAGTTTTAACAGCATTCCCTTTTACTCGCAACAGTGTCCATGTTTGGACAATAAGTCACATGGTCAACATATGTATTGATGAAGAATTAGTATTTTAAAATAGCAACAGATTGGAAATGAAGATTTTGGTGAAATTAATTTTGATGTCCCCTTTTACTACACCACAATCTGATATCTTTGTAAATTTTTTTTATTAGACGAGTAGTGTTGACTGCATTTCTTAGAAGAAAAATGAAGGCAAGAAAAATTAAAAAAAAGAACCTTTTCTCAAGCTGTTGTGAAATTTTCTTTCCACAGTAGTACCAGATTTCAGAACTCGAAAACTTCACTGCCTGTACTAACATCTACCTTATATGGTGGGGAAAATGGAAAAAGCCAAATAAATAATAAGGTATAAAATATATGCATTTCTTCCCTCTATTATGAACTTGTCCCTTAACTATCACCATTTACACTGCATATGTGATTTGCATTGCCAGAACAGTGAAGCAAATACAAAGATATTATAAGGCTTGTGATAATTCGCAAAAGAAATCACATTTGCCCAGACTATTACACTGCTGTTCTGCCTTCAATGGAAACACACATTACTATGAGTAAAACCTGACTCTCTAATGCTTTTAAAACAGGAGTGCTTTTGAGTTTGTTTCCTGGGACCCCTCTGATGGAGGTAGTTATTATTCATGTTTGCTGGAATAATCTTCATGAGGTCCGTGAGCTCAGGGAAGTCATGGTCTCAGAAACATAGAGTGCAAATTGAGACTAAAAGAAAAGGGAAAATTTTTTTCTCAGATCTCCATGTCCTTCTGTCCTCTGTAAGAGTATTACATATGATCAGGGTCAGAAAGCAATTCGTGGGAGTAGGTATTGCTTTTGGTGGATGTGAGCTCCTAGAGAAATAGTCCATGAGAGCTGATGAGTCCAAATGAGGTGATGAGAGGTGAGAACAAAGCACTAAAAGGCTTGTGAAGAACTGAGACCTGGAACAATCATGATGTCACATCCCAAAGTAGGAGAAGTAAACTCTTATGGCATTGAAGGGCATGGAAGAGATTCCTATTCACTTAGCAGAACATTCACTGAAGTGATTTTTGAAGATGAATAACATTGACGATGTAGAATGAAGGGAGAAAAAAAGGATAGGGAAACAATTAATTTGATATGGATGTGGCCTTGAAGATACTTTTTCAAGTATTTGTTCAAGTATGGTCTGCCTGGTATAATCTAAAAGAGTAGGGGAAGCCTTGGGAATTCTATTGATTTCTAGTATCAAGGAACCATAAAGTATGAAAACAGAAAGGAGGCTTAAAGATCATTAAGTTCATTCTGAAATGAGAAAAAGTCAAGCCCATAGAAATAGTTTACCTAACTTCCAAGTTTATGTGCCTATTAGTACCAGGAACCAGGTTTACACAATGCACCCACTGCCCCCCTGACATCAACCACATTTCCCTAGAGAGTAGAAGGGGATTATATAGTCACACTGTGACAGAGACACAGTATGAGCAAGACCAGATCCAAAACCTTGAGAAGGAGGGTATGTTGATTCGCAGACATTGATAGTCTGGAATCACCCCTTAGGTATTTTTCCTAATTCTTATGAATAAGTTCTTCTGACTTCCTATAATGATAGCCAGCATTATTTGGAAACACTGAAAATAAATATCTCTAAATGTGGACAGCCCTGTTAATAGGATCTTTCATCTTTCTAAGACTTATTACAATTATTTTCCTATAACAATTTTGAATGAGATGTCGAAATTGTTTTTAACCTTAGATATCTCTTAAGGAAGTAAAGATGGTAGGACACTGATGTTTTTGTTTGTTTCTGAATTTACTTAAATGTTCCCCATTAAAGATTTGGTGTGCACATTTGTTTTATTCTTGATTTCAACACATCTTTGCTGCACATCAAATACAGTATTTTCTAGATCAGCATGGTCCAATGGAACTTAATGTGATGATAGAATTGTTCTGTACCTGCACTGTCCAATATGGTAGCCACGAGTGCATGTTGCTATTGACTTCTTAAAATGTTGCTAGTATGACAGAGAAAGGGAATTTTTAATTTTATTTCATTCTAATTAACGAAAATTGGAATAGCCACATGTAGATAGTGGCTTTAATATTGTACATAACAGTTCTAGACACTGGTATTGGGTAAAAAAAAAGATAAGTCATGACTTCTGACTACAAGTCACTCACAGCCAAGAGTGGTGGGGAAGCGTAGGAGATGGATAAACAAATCATTATTCTAGAGAGGGATTAGCGTTACTTTACAAGTCAGAATAAGGTCCTGTGGGGCACAGAAAATAGAGTATGACCCTTCTTTGGAGTAGGGAGCAAAAGAAGTTTTTGACAAAGAACTGATATTTGAATCTTGATGAATGAGCTGAGTCTACTCCATACATTAGAGATGAACAAAAAGAGGAAAGAATTTTCAACAATGGAGGAAATGTGTGCAAATTCATAGTGGTGTGAAAGAGCAGATGGGGGTCCCCCCTTGTTGAAAATTCCTTCCTCTTTTTGTATATATATATAAAAATATAAATTATATTTATATATTTTTTATATAAATACATTTATATATAAAATATATAAAAATATATTTTTTCTCCCTCCCCTCATGGGGAGGTGAACTAGCAGATGGCTCAGGTAAGAAGTCACTCTAGTACTCTGCATGTTTTAGCCCTTGTTCTACCATAATATGCTGTGTGACCTCGAACCTCTACCATTTTGGACTTCAGATTTCTCTTCTGGAAATGAGGAGTTATGACTTAAAGCCTGAGGCAGGCATGGGGCAGTTTGGTGACTCCTTCCCACCTCTAGCTTCAGTAATTATTAGATTCAGTATGATTAGCCATATGTAGGTTCTGCATTCACTAGTTCCTGTGATGGCCTTCCTTCAAGATCATGAAAATATTCTTGGTGTCATCTTTGACACCGGGTAGTATGTAACTAAAGATTCCCGGAAATCCTTGAGAAGTTGAACTAATGTTTCCCCCATTGTTGATGGTTGTTTATCTCCTCTAGCTAATGTAACGGTTTCATGCTCTGAGTGTATGTATTGTAGCTGCATTATTTCCTCTTCTCTCAGGTATCTTAGATGCTAAAGAAAAATAGCTATGTATGGAGCCTGTATAAAGACTGAATGGTATTTGGAACTGGCAGACAGAGGTATGAATTTGGAAATTCATTCATTTATCATTACCTTAATTGGCAGTACTCAGTGCACATGGGCTGTCTGTGTGGCTTTTTGTGAGAAGAATAGAAGATTTATTCTTTCCATAACCTACATGCTGGCAAGGTACAAAAGGTCTCTGCCAAGCCAGCCAGGATCTCACTTGAGCTCTACTAATAGGAAGATGGATAACTAACAGACTAGAAGAGTATATATGAGAAGAACTCACTTTTGTAGATGAACTTCTCAGGCTTTTGATTTTGTGGCCCTTGAATTCTCTCTTCATCCAGGATGGTCACACTGATCTGTAGGGAAGCTAATTTTTACAAGAACTCAAACAGGAGGGAGTTGCTGTTGAGAGAGGAGAATCCAGCTTTGGAAGAGATTCACGGGGGAGAATAGCTATCAATTTATCATTCTTGTGTGCTCTACGAATATACAGTACACCCAGAGCATTTTGTACCTGTCATCTCTCAAGATAGACAGTGTATCACACATGATATTATCATTAACTCAGCAGGTGTGATTTAATATAGAGATCTAGTGTGAAATTAATAGCCTACTGAATAATAGAGCCACTTTCTCAGGGTTCATAAGACATACTCTTTGAGTTTCTCAAAATAGGGTTAGTAGCAAATCCAGGATTTTTAAATTATAGTGCATATCTAAATACCCACACGTGCATATATGTTTTTTTGGGAATGGGCTAAACATATTATGCCATTAATATTTTCACCTGTTTTTATGATGGGGCCTGTGGCCAAGGATCACAGAAAGTAACTGATGAAGGGATCAAAAATATGTTCTTCATTATGTCTTAACCTAGTGCTTCTCAAACTTTTATATGCATACGAATTACCTGGAAATTTTGTCAAAATGCAGATTCAGATTAAGGAGGTTTGATGCAGGTCCTGAGATTCTGCATTTCTAAAAACTCCCCTGTAATGAGATTGCTACTGGCCCATGGATAAGCCTTTGAGTAGTAAAGTTTAGAAGTCTTCGTATGTGTGTCCACTGTAAAGAAATTGTCTAAACTTAGATAGGAGCCTCTTAGAGTTTGAAGCTCTGGGACCAATGGAATCTGAGAAACAAAGAGGTACAGTTGTTTGTCTATGGATTCAGGTTTAGAGAGTATACAAAAATTTTGAGATTCTGGGTTGTTGTTTTTTTTTTCCTGAAGAAAAGCAAAATGAAATCTTCCATTATCAGGTTCTATGAATAATTTGTTTATCTCAAATACATCTTTGAGAATGTGCATTCAGCCCTTTCTCACTCAAGTTGCCCTCCCAGGGTCCTTGATAGCACATTGACAGAACCATAATTGGAAATAGCAGAAAACTTTGGCCTTGGAAGTGAGATACTTATCTGGGTCTTGGGCACTTGGAGAGTTGCTGGAGTGGCTGGAGGCTGGCTGTATGCCCCAGGAACAGCTCCTTTGTTGCTGCAGGAGGAAATATCTGATGTCAGAAAGCCTATGATGGATATTGTTGCAGCCAATCCCTGTCTCATTAGAGAAGAGAGCTCTATGCCACCATATAATGATTGCAAATGTTCATTTTTGGCTGTTTTAATATTTCTGCTTCAAGTATATTTGTTTTTCCTTATCTTCTGTCTTTGACGAAAATCTATGTTAAAGTATATAATCTAGTTTGGAGAGAGATGACATGTTTGACTCCGTGAGGAAATACACATATTTCTCAATTTTTTTTACTTTGATGTTTGATTTCTAGGCAGTCTTTAATGTAAAAGACACACACATTAATTTTCTATCAATTCCTGGAAAATGTTCCAATTTTAATACCTCTAGACTGGTCTTGCCGGTATAGCAATGTTTGACAGTTACTCTTCTATAATTCTGGTGCTTAAATCATGAACAGCTATTAGTATATATTAACACTTTATACAGTTTCAAAGCTGAACACCCATGATGCATTTAGATGGTTTAAAGCATTAATTTGCCTCTCTGACAACTCTAAAAATATTGGCTGCCTCAAGATGGAGGAAGGTTGGTTAATCTCTATGGAACATTTGTTGCTTGCTGTAGAGAATATTGGTTTTCCTTTATTGTAAGTCATACCAGGGATATGATGAGTGCTTTAGATCATTGTGAAAATTGGAGTCGAAAAACAAAACTTCCTTATCAAACCAAAAAACTTAGGATCCAAAACTACATTCAGTTTGATATTTGGCCATTTATCCAACATCTGACTTTATGTAATTTCAATTATTAAGGTCAGTCATTAGAATTAAATCATCTTTTCTAATAATTTATTATCAAGCCTTTTAAAAATGCTCACTCTTGTGGACAAACCATTACAGAATGGAAGAAGAAGCTACTGAATTCAAATTCCTTAATGTCATCTGTTCTAGTTAGAAATCAGATTTTAGTAGACTGTTTCCATAATATATTCCCAAATAAATTTTATAACTTAATAGAATAAATACAAAATAATTTTAGTGAGAAGGAGTAATTTCAGCTTTGTTATTCTAATATGTGCTAATTTAAATTATTCTGGTCATGGACATAATATCAGCACCTCATTTTCAGAGAGAACTTGAAATATGCACTGAGTGAGTTTGTGTTTTGTTATTTGTTAACAAAAGGGGAGTGGAAGGGGTAGAAAACCCTTATCAAAGATTCTCTTTCGGTGCTAACTTTTCCTTAACCCTAGGTATTCTGATTCCTCTTCCAAGGATGCTTGCCTCATACCATACCATCTAGAATAGAAAGTTTGGGGAGACAAGTAGTGGGATGCAAGGGTGACAAGGATAGGTGACAGTGATGCCTATAATAGCAGCAGTCACCTGTCCCTATCATTGTGATGCTGGAACAAACCAGACTGCAACATTTTGGAGTCCCCAAGACCACCCTTCTGTCCCTTCTATCATCAATTGCAAGTTCAGGGGTCCCCCAGACCACCATCAGATTCAATAATTCAACAGAAAGACTTACAGAACTCAGAAAGCCTTAACCCCATAGTTATGGCTTATTACAGTGAGAGGACATAGGTTAAAATCAGCCAAGGGAAGAGCTGCATAGGCAGAACTCAGGAAGGTTCTAGGCATGGGGCTTTCAGTTGTCCTCTCCCAGTGGAGTTGTGGACAGCACTAACTTCTCCCAGCAACAATATACACAGAGTGTTGCCAAGCAGAGAAGCTCACAGAAGCCTTGGTATCCAGGGTTTTTATTGGGATGTGAGCACGTAGACATGGTTGAGCACCCACATGGCTAATCTCAGTCTACAGCCCCTCCAGAGGTCAAGCTGATACCACTTGACCCAAAGGCCCACCCTAAGTTGAATTGTCAACATAGACTATCCAGTGTGGCCCAAGATCCCCAGGTAAACTAAGACATTCTTATTAAGCAGGAAATTCCAAGGGTTTAGAGGTTTTATCCCAGGAGCCAAGGGCAAATGCCAGACCTCTCTTTGGGCAAGGTTAATCCTTAACTGCACACAAAAGAACCAGTAGGGAACCCAGCAGGTGGTAAGTGAGGTGAGGGCATTGTTGCTAAGTTAAAGAAGTAGAACCAATTAGAGCTTAGAATAGATTCTTTCATCACGGATATGAGGAAAATGAGGCCCACCATGTTTAACTTGATGTGTAATTTTAGACAAGTCCTTAGAAGCGGATCTGGATTAAAGCTGAATGGAAAATGGTGAAATACCTTTTAAAATCATTCACAAATTATTCAGAGTACCATCAAAATAACCCCATATGAAATCAAGATACTATGTTATTTAACAATTACAACAAAGACTGTAACTATGTTATTGTACTTTGTCTTTTCACTCATAATTTGGAAGTCAGAAAAATGTTGAATGATTGTTTTGTCTTTGATAAAGGCTTTCATTCTGAGTTTTATTTTCAGGGACTTCATAATTTCATTTCTGCAGTCGCTAACTAGCTAACAAATGACTTTCAACTTATCTTCTTTAAGCCTAGAGTAAAATATTACTAAACTGGGGAGTCTTTTCTGCATTGTCATCACAGCATATTCTTCTGTGATATTAATTACAAAATATTCTATATCTTCAAAATAAATCTAATAAAATCAATCCAGAACCCAGCTATGCACAAGTAGACTTCTTATTGAGCAGGTTCAGATTAAGATTCCATTGACCAGAAATTGCATTTCTGATTATTTAAGCTTAGGAAATAATCACACATGTGCCAAAACTTTATACGTAAGCAAGAGTAGTCATCACTGCATCATTTATATGCATAAATAATCTGAAGAAAGGGCAACATTTTACCTCATCTTTGAGAGACGTGAGCATCCATGGTGAATGTAGCCTAAATGTTTAAGAATTAGA